GGGATGAGACAGCAGTCTAGCAACTGATTGCCTTCAGGGGAGGGATTGCCTGCGCATCTGACCAGCCCCCACAAGAGGCCTCATTGGTTGTACCTTGATTGACAGAATACACCCCTTCACTCATAATCTTCTCAATTTGACACCAGAGTATGTAACTACCACACTGCGCAAGCATGGCTTGTTGTTTTTAGGTGCCATCGAGTCAGCGATCCTGTGCACAACAGAAGGGAGCAGTGCGTGGTCCTGGGCCATCCTTTCAGTCCCCAGCACAAAGGACTCTTAACCATATAAGGAACCTCATTTTAGCGTCACTGTTCTTGGTTTCGTGAAGCCCTGGTAGTGTAGTGGGCTGTGAATTGGGCTGCTGTTTACAAGGTCAGTGGCTTGTACCTTACATATATTCACATATATTTTCTTCTATATATTCATATAATCACCATTATAATCAATACATAAACTGTTCCATCACCACCCCAAATGCACTCCCTCATGTTACTTCTTTTTATCGACATCCCCAAATCTCTCTGTGACTCTCTTCCCCATCTCTCTGGGCTAAGAATGCTTTTTGCATATATCACTGACCCTATGTGATTTCATTTTATACTTTTACAGATCTGCATGTTTGAAATCATACCCTAGGGGGTTACTAGTTATATCTTGGAGTACTTGAAATAATATATTAAAAATGTAAATAAAGAAAACCCCAAATCTCTGAAGCCTCTTCAGTCTAAAATACTCTAACACTCATTGCCCTTGACTTGATTCCAACTCATAGTAACCCTGTAGGACAGGTAGAACTGCCCTGTGAGTTTCTGCGACTTTTAAAAAAAGTTTCATTGGGACATAATCCATATATACAATTTTCAGTAGTTCAGTCATAACAAAAGAGTTTCATAATCATTTCCACAATGAATTCTAGAACACTTTCTTCTTCCTTTTACTCTTTATTAGCTCCCCACTTCCCCCAACCTCTCCTGCCATGCCCCCAAGAAACCACAAATCCAATTATTGTTTATAGATTCACAAATCCAGAATTTTGTATACCGAAAAACATACCAAAAGAAATCAAAGCTAACTGTGTTACTCCAGGTAGACTAGAGAAACAAATTCATAGACACTCATATGTATATAAGAACGAGGTTTATGTAAAAGCAATTGAACATTGAGAAAACATTCTAGCCAAGTTCAATCCAAGGCCATAAATCTGATACCAATCTATGAAGTCCTCTTCCAACTCACAAAACACATGTAATGATGCCGAGTGCAGGACGATCACAGGCCAGTGGGTAGGAAGTCTTTGGATCCAGTGGTGGTATAAGCATCTCAGCGCTAAC